CTCCTTCGTAAACACAAGATGATGTAACGACCAACGTAACAACGATACAGAGTAAAAATTAATTATTTTTTTTATAAACCGTGCCAGAACTGCGGTTAACCGAGCCCCACTTCTGGGAAGTCCTGGCTGGCTCTCCAGTCTCGTACTGTCACCGGACATCTCTACCGGAGTTGTGCTCTCGGCTGTGGACAGAAGCCGTGTCCTTCAGCTTCCCCTTGTGTCGTGCAAAAAAAAAATAATTAAAATAATTAAAGCGGATTTATTTCAGCCGGAGAATAGTTGGACGAGACGGCATTTCATTTCAAACTGTTGGGACTTTCTAGGAAAGTACAGGCACTGCTGTATTTAAGCCTCACAACTGTATGGGAAGGATGCAAATGTCTCGCTGGTTGAGTCAAACAATAACGTCCCCGTCTTTAAGTGGCTTAATTAACGAACACAACAAATGCTTTGTGGGTGACCGTAGCATACTGTAGGAAAGAGTCTTCACTTCTCAATAGCCATTTCAAGTAAGATACTCTTATAAGGAACAAGTAATAGGTTTATTCCATGTTGAAAAAAAGAAGAAAGAAAACACGTTTCGGCCGTGGAATCTTCACAGTCAGGCTCCACAGCTGAAACGTGTTTTCTTCTCTTTTCAGTATGGAATAAACCCATTACTTGTTCCTTTGCAGCCTACGCATTCTGACGCAGCTCCCCACCTGAACTACTACAAGATACTCTTATATACTGCTTATACTAAAATTAGGTTACAAGATTGCATACACGGATATTGATCAATACAGCGAAAATGCGGTTATTGTGGTTCAACTTAATGATGCCAATTTTTTGGGGGGAATGGACTTTTTTAACAACAAACCAGAAGCAGAACAGAAAGAGTACACAATGCCATTCCATGAACACTTTTTGTCTGCACCAGATGCAATTTTCTTAGGTGCAATCATGTTCAAAAATGCTCTGAAGAAAAGTCTGCACTCTGAGCTCATCTCAAATTCGGAAAAAGTCTTCCCAAGTGAAAAAACACAGACAAATGCACCCTGTTTGACTTTATATACAGAGCATTTTCTTTCAGAGCCTGAGAGGATTTTTTAAAATTTCCTAGGAATTATTCATCACCCAAAGCTATGCTGACTAGACTCGTGTTAAAACCTGAAGGCCAGAGAAAAACACCCCTAAAGACATTTTGCTAACTTTTTTAAATTTTAAAACCACTGAAATATTGAAGAAACTGCAGTTTGGGCTCAGATATGTGTCCTTTGGCTTTGTTCATCACATAATCAATGAAGTCAGATGCAGAAAAGTCTATCATCAGTGTGCCCGGCTCTTCATCTTCGTTAATTAGGCACAGGCTGTGTGCTCACATGTTCAGGCTGCTTCTCTGAGAAACACAAGATTCCTCTCCAGACACACAGAAAGCAAGGACGATATTTCTACAAACTGTGTGAATGAGAAAAAGAACTTATACTAAACCACTTATTGTAGTCTATACAGTCATGTCTTCTGAAAATCAAAATTCAGTCTTTCAAAAGAAGCTCACTAAATATGCAAACACTGAAACACATGACTGTGTAATTTATGGAAATGAGGGTAGTAACAAGCACACTGATTTTAATAATTTAAATGACAGCAATACTAAATGATTAATTCTAATACTAAATGACCAATTAGGCTGGTGAAAGAGGTGCTCTCGGTTTATAAAGTGTAATTGCATTACGGATGGGTCCGCTTGCATTTGCATGAATTGACAAATTCTTTTGCATCTTAGGACTGCTGTAAACAGATAAACTATAACGCTTTTAACATTTTCCAATTATAACTTTAAGTCATTGGTAAAAAAAACTACAATTCCTTTACTGCCATTACAGCTCCTGTGGCCTTGCTTGGGACCTATTCTGATTTAAAAAGAATTACAAACTAGCGTTCATTCCTGTCTTTGCAGAAAATGAGCTGATTATATTGAGTTAAAATTATATGATTTCTTTCACAATTGCATTTTAGAGGTGCTTATCCACTTTTTGACACTTCACAATATCTACGTCTCAAACACAGACATACAAGATGGGTACCTTGAATTAATGAGTTATCTTCTATTTTATGTTAATACAAAATAACAAAATCTACTAGCTGACACAAACCTTGTGTTCAAAAAAGTGTTCAGTCAGAAAAGCTCATCACTGAATTAACACTGACCCTGACTAATTTATTATTTGGCATTCTCCCCTTTTTCAATGGGGGGAGATTAATCCTCTGTCGATGACATCAGATTCTTCCCAATCACTGCATAAAATCATACAAAGGTGCCTTCTGATTAAGAGAAATGATCTATGCAAAGATAGAACCAGTCGAGGCGTGTGCACAGAGCACAGGAGCAGAGCCTTACAGCCCAGACAGTGTTTGAATCTCGGCTGTGTCTTTACCCAGCTGTGACTAGGATTCCCCCAGCAGCGATCGAAAAAGTATCTGCAATAGACTGGATCGGCCACTGAGCCAAGCACGCCACACAACAGCAAACGCTATGACCTGCGAAGTGTTCAGGTGCCTCTGGTCTATATCGATGAGGGCTGCCACTCTCACAATGACGCAGACAAGACCCCTCTGCCACCTCTCCTGGGCGGGTCAGGCAGGAGGGGGAGTGTCCAGCCACGCCAACAACGGATCAATCGCTCTCGTTTCGGATTCGGCAGCTCCAAACTGGGTGGGATCAAAGCCAAAGCCAACTGGAGATTTCATTTAAAAGCAAAAAGCAGAAAACTACATGGGCTGAGTCCCAGTGCCTGCTATGCATGGAGAACACAAAGATCTCTTGAGCTTTACACTTTAGAGCATCATTTGATCAGCAGCAATGCTGGGATTGCAAACCCCATGTAACACAGCTTTGGACTATTTCACACGTGCAGTTTCCCTGGCATTGTGATGAAGCCGTAATTCGACATCATAATATTCTCTTTTTCGTTCAACGGCTGCTGCTCAAATGCCCTGACAAGAAAATCCTCCCTAATTTATCTATTTCACTTCCAGAATCTCATGCTTTCAGAAGAGAGCCGCTCGACTTTCTTCACTCCCCCCATCAGGCTTTAAAGCTTGTCCTGCCGTTTAAAAAGCAGGTTTCAAATCAATAACTAGAAAACAAAGATGCAACAAAATTTGGAAGAGAAAGCATGATGATCACCTTTTGCAGAAAGAAAGATAATTTCAAAGAAAGCACTATAATCAGAGAATTTATCTAAACAACACCTCCATCACAGCAATGTTCAGCATGTTTTAAATTATTATTCAGGTAGCTCCAAGGCAAGGAAACACTGTAGCTGTATGAAATTAAAACACATTTGTCTCTCAGCTCTGGCTGTCAGTATTGTTCTCCTTTCCTTTATTTGAAATCACAGATATATTAATTCAGAGTTTAAATACACATTTACTGTCTTTATATACTGTTTGTATGTGTCTTCATGTATTGATTAATCGTGAATATGTATTTCTACATCTCCAGGAACTTCTCAAGAGTTACAGAAATAATGAACGAACCCTATATCTTGATTTTATCATAACTATTTAAACATAAAATATATCACTGTGAAATGGTCATAGATTCTGAAAACAACATTGATCCCATTTAATAAACATGCATAATACCATTGTTAAGGAAGAAGGTGCCTATATTCATGACTCCTTCAGTGTAAAAGTCAGCGTGACAACGTTTTTTAGGGGAACTGCAATGCTATTTTTATATTTCGTGGTTAGAAAGAATCAACAGTAAGTTGATGGGTGCATTTCAAATCATGATGAAAGTAAAATGTACACAGAAACTTGCAAAACCTCCAATGTACATCAGAAAATAGACAACATTTCCAGGTATGCGAAGCACCATGTTCTGCAACTCAGAACAAGGCAACAAAATCTCTGATGAGGTTACAGGGCCCTGTTACATTGTGAACAGTCAGGCTTGTGAATACATCTCTTTAAATTTAATAGAAATACTGCTCTCGGCTTTGAGACATTTTCGCTGACAAATACTACTTACTTGTTAACTCTGCATGCAGACCACGTCGGAACATTTCTGCGGTGAAATGTCCACAAACCTGTACTTATTTGCTTGTACTTCGCAGTACAATAGTTATCACAGGGACTAGTGAGCAGGAAGGGCCGCTTCACATCACAATTCAAAGGAGTTTGCGACAACATGGCCACTTACAATACTTTCAAAACGTTCACGATTTTGTGCTTAATTGAAAATCTGTGATTTTTTCTACACTATCAATGAATTTATTTTGTTACTGAGATTTAATAACCGGTCTGAGAAATTTGGACTGCAGGTCCCCTTTAATTGGCATATCAAAGGTTTTCAAATTAAATTCACTGCTCAGTGTTTTTAAGATTGTTATTCCCACTAAATTAATGAGCACATTTAAGTTAAGCTGAGGCATCTTGGAATAATTAATGATCTATATTAGAAATCATTAATGATGGAGTGATGATGGGAAGTTCTTTCAGAAAAATTTAGAATGGTTACCGAAATTTCTTTACTACTTTAGATTCTACTAATGTAAATTCCAAACTCTTATTATTTCTTTAAAACAGGATTTAAATGCCATTTTCCTCCGACTAATAACAAAACGTTCTTATTCAGGAACACACTGTAGAAAGGGTTTTCATTATGAGAAGCTGGTCACATCCACTGATCCCGGAGCTCGGCATTTACTTGGTAGTTCTTTCGTACTGAATGACATGAAACCAGGAGAACACTTAGCACACATATTTGTGTCTATACATGGAAGAATAAATTAAGAATGATAAAAGACTGAGATACAGAATGAAACCAATGGAAACAATCAATACTTGTCAATCCAGTACGGGGACTACAGTGCATGTAAAAAGCCTCAATGTGAATTAGTGCACAAATGTGAATTGCTCATACAAACATCTGTAACAGACAATCATGTTTTTTGAGAAATGGAGAGCTGTCATTTACTAGATTAATGTCAGAATAATATAACGATACTTACCCCTACAGGCTGAAAAATAAGACCGTCTACTTCATGACTAACTTGAGAGGTAAAACTTCCTTCCAGGAGCTAAAAAAAGAAAGCAGAACAGGCTTAGTTGAAAAATGATTACGTTCCCATGCATACTGTTCACTTAGAATTAATATTTCTACGAGAATCAGCCACTTACAGTGACCAAAAGCACTGGGGCAAAATTATTTCTACATTGACCTCGTTTATATACCCTTCTTCTAAGAAACTATCTGCTGTGTCACTTCTCTTGACATAACCTCTCTGTGTAATATGATACTGAATTGAGTGCAATGATGCATAATTAGCTAATAACGTTTGAATCTGATCAAATATCTAGCTGCATTAAGCACCAAGCATGTAAAGTACAGAGTAATTCCTATTCTGAAAAAAACTGTGCTGTTTATGTCTACGTCCACATGGTAGATGTAAGAAACGCTTTCAGCAGATGAAAGCCGAAGAGACGGATGTTCTTTTAAGTTGGGCATGATCTTCATCCAAGTTAAACATGTTTGAAATCAAAGTAAGTTAGCAATGCTAAAGGAAACAAAGTGGAAAAAATATATCAATTTCACTCATACTTTGTAAGTCTGCTTTTAAGACTCAGCTGCTTAAAAGAAATACAATAGTCAAGGATAAATGTGATTCTTTTAAGTGGGATGCAAGGTACAGTACTTAAACATTTCTAGGACAGCGATTTCCACAAAGTCAGACGCATGAGGTTCTGCGATAAACTACTATACAATGACGCATGAAAATGTAAGTGCTTCTACATAGGTTGAGCCCTATTGTCCGGACATCACTGTTTTGTGGCTGAGCAAAAACAAAATTGCAAGTCGATTGGGACTGGCATTCCCCTGGAGATAAGATGGACTTCCACATGCATGCTGCACAACAGCGAATCCTGGAACAACTCAGCACCTGTGACAATGCAGTGACACCGTGCAGAGATGCCCTGCGATCAGGGCTGTTCTCTAAGGGCCTGCAGTGGCCAAGTCTAAGGGGCTCTGACAAGCGGGCTTGTCCGATGGACGTACTGCTCTTTCTCTTCCTAGCAGAGCAGATCCACTGCTAAAGAACTGTCAGCTTCACACTGGAATGGGTAGAAAACAAGTGGCTAATCCACTTTAAAAAGAAAATAACACACAACTAAAAGACCACAGTCCCAGCTGAACCCTGGAAATAAAGAAGATGTGGAACATTTACAGAGGACCTATCCACAACAGAGATAAAAGAGACTGTGTGATGAAAATCACCATGTCGTGTGCGTGCGTGCCAAATGAACAGAATCTTTCAAGTTATTACTTAATGGATCAAAGAGCTACAAACACCTGCACGAGTATGATGGATCTTCACAATAACCTACAGTATTTACTGACCACAGTCCTTTTACTTCAGCAGTAGTGTTTAATTACTTTGATGTACTGTAATGCACATTATGGGACTTTTCCTTTTTCTTTTACAAAACAAGAAAATATACATATAGATCAAATGCTGTTTGCTTATCTCTAAATGTGTGACAGCATCAAGTTAAAAATATTCTTGGTGCTAAAGATAACTTGGTTATTCAGGTCCTGAGCTGAAAGAAGACATTTGAAAGATGGACAACATCTATTCACCGGTCATTCTATAGTATTTAGTACACAGAAAGAAAATTTTCCATCTGTTTTCATTTCTGTGCAACAGTGGTATCTCACTTAACTATATAATTTACGCTGTGTGGTGTTGTCTGCTGTACTGTGTACTGTATGTCCTGAGAGATCAGTGTTAATAAGAATTCTAACATGGACATATGGCAATAAACTGTACTCTTTACCAAGAGCTATCATTGTTTTTCAAGAGTGATATTTCACAACTTAAACATAGGCCCCAGAATTCCACTTACAGTATCAGGCTTACTCAGTTGCTGTCTGCATGTCTCCTGATGTGCTCTGCTCTCAAAGGTTAGTATGTGGTGAAAGATATATACGGGTACAGGGAAGAGGCACAAACCAGAACAAACAAACAACAGGCTTCACTAACTGCCTTTACTTTTTGTTTATTCTGAAACGCCTCTGAGATAAAGCAAAGCCAGGAACTCATTCATGTCAAGGTCAGCACCTTAAATCAGAATCCGCAGAACAGAAATGATATTTCTGCTACGAGCTTCCACAGAATATGCTGGAATGCAGGCTTTCATATTCTGCAGGTTGCCTCACAGCTCTGAAAGTAAACGGACTTTTCCGCGGGCGGCTGCAAAGGTTGTTTTGTTTTAATTTCCTGGCTTTTCAAAGAGGTACGTGCATCACAAAATAAAATTTAAGAATTGCAAATGCAATAAGCCCGCTGCACAATATTTCAGTTATCACAGATGCCAATTGGACACTTGTGTGAAGAAATTCACTCCAGCAACACAACGAGGGGTTCTAGCAAGCCCACCAGTTGCATCAGAAAACACTCCATAGGCACACGATCAGCTGTTGTCAATGAGGCATTCTGCCCAGAGCTGAGAAGCCCTTCTGGCATTCTCCTGTCAGCTGCTTACCAGTTGCATGAAGATCCAACTTGGATCTTATTTCTCTAGAATGAAACAATGTCATTTGGGCTGCTCCTTTATCTGAGAGTTAATGTTCCTCTCCACAAAATCAAACTCTGTACCAGCTGAAAATGCGCCCAAGGGATATTTTTTTATCCAGAGATGAGGGCTCAAAAATGTAGGCGGTCAGGTGCTTGTACTCTGTTGCCGTGATGCCCTGCTTTGCAGACTGCCCTTCAGAGAAGAAAAAGAGCTCAACTGTCAGCACAAGCTATAGGAGCAGAAATTCACTCTCAGCATTGCAGCCTGAGGTATCACTCCAGGTATATCAAGTTAGGAACAGACTATGCAGCATTTGTTCCTGACAGAATTTTGTGCAGTTTTCAAACAGTGAGATGCAGCTTAGCGCAGGTCGGGCATTCAAATTCAGGTCTAAATCTTATAATCAGCGACAACAAAACCATTTAAAAATGAAAATGATTTGATCCCTCTAATAACTTAGTAAGCCCATGTACTGCCTTTGTCCATGACACAGATGAACTGGTCAGTAATGTGCACAAAAAGAACACCGAAAGAACATGCACCCGTAAGTACATGTTAGATTTAAAGAGGTGTTGTTTATTTGAAAGGGACAGTAAAAACGAACATGTTCGAAAAATGAACCAGCCACAGGTGTTCAGTAAGTGGGAACAGACATGCATTTTGGAACAGCCGTGCTCGCCTTTCAAGCTTGGGTAATTAAAGAAAGGTCTCGCTTGCTTATTATCACCACTTGGTTCTTACTGATTCAGCACCCACTTCAAACACCAGCTGCATCCCTGTCTGAGCTGAAAACTGTGCCGAATTTCAGAAGGAGTAACTACATCACAGTCAAGGCTGGAAGGCTAAATTGCAGGATGCTGCCTACTGTACAGAGCAAGAATGTTTTTGCCCTGTGCTGCACGCAGTCCAAAGCCCGCTTTCAACACGAGGTTGTAATAAGTGAGGTGCACCCGAATGCGTCAGTGCAAATACCTCTGTGGAGAGGTTCTCTTCAGTCAAAACAGGCCGTACAGAGAGGACCAGTTTTCTAGATTTGCAGTGTGGCAGTAGATAAGTAAATCTACAAAAGAGCTGACACCATTCAACCCATCTAGCCCACTGGGTTGCTAGTAGCTAACTGGTCTGAGGATCGCATCAGCCACCCCTTCAAAGAAGCAATGGTAGAGTATGTGCAGCGCCTTGCGAAATGTTTTCACCCCCTTCCAAGGAGGCCCCATTCTGCTGAACTAGAAATTCACTCTCAGCATTGCATCCTTATATATTTTCATTCAAAACTGCACGTTCAAACTGAATGTTTTCATGAATGAAAACGAGTTCAGTCTCAAAAGAACCGCCTGGGAAAATCAAAAACTAAAATATGCTGATTACATACTTGTTCTATTGATGAGAGCACCTTCGTTTGCGCTAAGCTGACTGTGAATTGGGGACAGACAGCAATTTGTTTAAGACGCGCCACATAGTTTCTAGCAGATTCAAGTAAAGACCTTGGCCGGGCACAGACTGGATTGTCTTTATTCGTTTTTTTCATTACAAATGTGCACTTTAAAAAAAGTGCATACCTGTACATCACTTGTGATGGCTACATAAATGACCTCCTCTTAAACGTTCTGAAAGTTCTTCTTCCACGGCTTCCACAACTTGGCTGGGAAGCTTAAAAAAATTCAGCCTGTTCAGCATTGCCGACAGAAGGCAGTTCTCGAGCTGTGTGGCAAACATGTTACTGAAAAATGATCGCAATCATCATCATCATAAATCAAAAACGTGGCATTTAAGATCCACTTTCCGATAAGAGTGCATGAAAAGTCCAAGTCCACTCCAAACCAGGCAACTGAACTCCCAAATAAAAACGATTACACACATTACAAACTATTTTAAATATGCACACTGTAAATGTGTTATACAGCATGGTTTATAAATGTCCTGTTACATTACACTTGTGAATGTTTATCGAGTTCAAGTGAAATGTGATGTGGTGATTGTTAGTGATAGGTGGCAAACGGTGAGGAAAATCCAGGAGTCGTGTGCCCATAGACAAATCTGCTCTGCGCAGCATTCTTTGGATCATTCTGTTCTCTGTAAAATCAATCACATTTTAAAGTTTTACCATTTCACTAGTAAAATTACAATTTCATGAAGCGAAAGAAGCACCTACGTTAACATGTAAATGTACATTAAATGTCTTCTGCCAGATATCAATGGCATACAAGTTTTGGAGCATACATTTGATATACAATCACCTGATATAATTAATAACAATGATAACACTGTACAGTGCTCTTTACCCCCAATCACTCCGTATATACAGCAGGAGTACCCACTGAAGTGCTTCGCCCTACAGCAGACACTATGTGCCAGCAGCTCCATACATTCAGAGCTGTGCTTTGGTGTAATTAATGTGTAATTTCGTTTTTTTTCCCACGGAGCCCAGCAAAATTCTAGAAAGCAAAACTATGCAAATGAGGAGAGCTTTTACTAAGGTACAGTGGGTCCCACAATATCGTTA